TGGGCTGCACCCTCCCGAGAGAAGCAGGTTCACTGAAACCGAGTGGAAACAAAGCTGAGACCAGCGGCTCCTGGTGCAGCCCCTGCGCAACGCCCCCCCCCCCTGCAGCCCCCGACCCTCTGCGGTGAGAAGTAGCAGGGAAGGGGGGCGGGGAGCCAGCGGAGGCCCAGCAAGACCTGAAGGCAGGGGGCAGGGGACGGGCGGCCCGCCGGCTGCTCCTCACCAGGGCCTTTCCACCACGTGTCTGCGTGGGGAGAGTTATCGGCAAAGTCACATTCCCCTCGGACGGAGCTACTTTTCAGTCGCGTCTCAGCCAAACTGGGGACTCTGTAGCGCCCTGTGATATGACACGGCGCGCGCGCCCAAGTAATTCCTGCCTCTCCCTCTTCCAATGGGTTTAGAGCCCCGCGCTCGGCACCTGCTCGGTGCTGGGAACGAAGCGCCGCCTTCTGGCCGGCGAGGTGTGGCGATGGTAGGGTCCGGGCACTTGCAGCGATACGTCTCTCCGCTCGCATCCAGAAGTGGGGAGGGCGCCTCAGCGGGTCTCCCGTGCTCTGCTCCCCCCCCCACGAGACTGCGGGGCGACGAACGAACGCCTTCTCTCCGTGGCCGATCCCAAGAAACCCCCGATGCTGGGGATTTGTAAAAACGCGGCGCGCACCCACCTTGACTTTAATGTGTTTGTGAGGGTTTTCTGCAGCGTGGTCTGCAAACAGTGCGTCGTTACGCTCCTGGGAGGCAGCAGGGTGCTCAGTAGCCCTTTTCTCAGAACTGAGCGCAGCGTTTCTCCAGCACCCGCGGCGCACACTGGGCGTCCTGAGGAGGTCGTCCGCCCGCCCGCAGCCCAGGGCTGGCCTGCCCCTCACACCTGCTGAGACCGATGCCCTGACTTTGCAGAGACGCCGCCCTTCCCCGCCCGCTGTGCCCAGCTCTCGGCACCTGGGAGCTGGCGAGGGCGTTACCTGGGGGCCTGCTCCGACGAGCTGCGGTGGTGGGTGGTGGGGTCTCTCAGGGTCACTCACTGGCTCCTGGGGAAGGCGCAGGCAGGCTTTTTGGACACACAGACGCCGCTGCACAACGGCGGGCGGAGCCGTCCGCTTCCTCCTTTCGGACTTGTCGCGGACTGCGAGGGAGCAGGGCACCTTCCTCCAACCCTGAACCTCCCTGGGGTGCTCCACCCTCCTTGGGGACAGCAGCTGTCCCTGCACCCAGTCCCCTCAGGAGTCACTGGCTGGCTTTGATGACAGGGAACCGGCAGTGGGAGCAGCAGGGCACGCTCTTCCTTCCAGAGCCAGCCCACCGTGTTGGGGGACTCCAGCCTGGGAGGTGTGCCTCCCGTGAGCCTTAACCGGAGGGACACCTGCGGTGGGGCGGGGCGCGCCGCTGTTCCACTCAGAGTGGGTCCTGCCGCCAGCAGGTGGCCAGTCAGCCGCGGTCCCTGTTCTACAGCCTGGCCCCAGCTGCAGTTGCAGCTGCCGTCGTTGCCCGTGGCCCGCACGCGGCCACAGGTCAGAGTGCCTCTGCTGGCAGGCCCCGCCCCCCAGGCTTGATGCAGGGACGTGCCACCAAGCTTCTTCCACTGGGTCATCACACGTGGCTTCTGCTCCGAGCTCCGTGGGGCCGGCGAACACACACACCACCCACTCCCTGGCTGCCCCACTCATGGGCGATAAGCTCAGTGCTCTTGCCCCCACCCTGTGGCCCCAGGTTCGTTTACAGGCCTTGTGGTCTCTGGGAGCTCATGTCCCTGTAGAAAGTGACTTCCTAGATGAGACATCTGGTCGACCAAAGACCCTGGCCTTGGGGCCCTCCCCTGTCTCTGAAGAGCTGGGACCACAGATGACACAGGTGGCCTCCCTGAGCCTGGCTCCCTGGACTGTCACTGGGGCCTTGGATGGCCCTGTGTGCATGACCCCGGGTTCCTGTCTGCAGACACTGCACCTGCACTTGTCCCCGAGGGTCTCTGAGGGACACCAAGGCAAGTGTCCCCTGCAGCCACTGGGGCTGCCGCCTGGTGGCACTTGCTGCTCGAGTCCTTTCTTGTTTCTCCTGCAGAGGAGTTTGGTCCTCCAGGTGGGAGGGGCTGGGGATCCGGGTCAGAGAAAAGAGGTTCCACCCTCTGTGCCCCCAGATCTTGGGGCAGGTAACTCTGCACAGGATGGGGACAAGGCTCAGAGGCCCCTGGTCAGACCTGCCCCCGCCCCCGCCCCCAGGCCGCCTTCCCTGGGGAACGTGCTAACATCGTTCGTAAGCCCCGCGATGTTGCTGATGTACAGGGTGGGGGCCACGCCTGGGACTCACTGCGCAGCCTGCACCAGAGTCCACACCTGACCCCCCACCTGAGCCCACAGCTGAGCCCCTGTGTACCCTGAATGGCCAGGCTGGACCTAACTAAATGCAACGTGGTGATAACCACTTCCGAAAACCAGAGTGGTAACAGCGACACTGAACATCTAGAAGGTGTCAGAGAGGACTGAAGGCAGACATGTTGTAGATGCAGCTGCTGACAGTTCAGCCAAAGTTGGGGGGACTGAAACATGAACAGATTCCTGATTTTTGGTGAACTTCCTAGTCAAGGGCAGAGAACCCACTTTCTTGTGCCCTGGGGAGTGGGTGCGGCAGATGGGGGCAGCTTCCCCGTCCTCCCCTCCAGCTGGGGGCTCACCCTGACCTTCCTGGCTGGGCCCTGCCTGCCTCCAGGGTGGACTTCAAGGAGACCCCAGGGTGGGGACTACTTTATCCTCATTCATGACACACGTACCGCGTCATGGCCAGCGTCCTGCAGGTACCAGATGCCCCTGCTCAGGCCCCTCAGTGGGCACTGGGACGCCACCTGGCGTGAGCTGCCCCAGCAGGAAAGCTTTTCTGTCCCTTTTCTTTCAGTTGGAAAGTCGGAAAACAACTTGTTGACTTTGACCCTGCAGCCTGGATGTGCTCACAAGCAGGGGTAGGCTGGCACTGCCTTCTAAAAGGTTCTAGGAAGTTCCACAGCTGGGTCAGGGCAGACCAGAGCAGATCCTTGAGTTCCATCATGGTCAGAGCAGGTCCCTGCCCCCAGCGACCTTGAGCAGCCTGGGTGGGACAACATGGAAAAATAAAATTGGTGTGAAATCCTACCCCAAGCAGCAAAAACTGCTCTAGTCCTAAGTATCTACCCCTCCAGGCATCGGTAAGTGAACATGGCCTTTATTCTAATGTCTGGATCTACCACAGCAGGCCCTTCAGATGGGTGCCAGCCTCATGAATCTTCAGGTTTTCTCTTTTCCTACTGCATGCACTACTTAAGACGGTGCAGTTTGCTGTTGGTTTTGGTATGTAGTATTTTTATTATCATTTAGTTCAAAGTATTTCGTAAATGTGATTTATCTGGGGGATTATTTAGAAGCGTATTTCATGACTTCTACATATAAGAACGTTGTAGTTACCTTTTGCTACTAGTTTTTAGATTAACTGCAATGAGAACAAGAAACATACTTTATACAGTTTCAAGCTGTTAAAGTTTATTGAAACGTGCTTTGTAGTTAAATATGGTCAGGTTAAAAGTGTTCCAAGTGTGCATCTCTGCTGCCATCTCGTGGAAACTTGGGGGAATGACATGTTAGTGCAGGTCCGCACGAAAAGTGGTTGATTCCAGTGAAATATCAGCAAGTGTGCATTGCAATGGTATGTTTAGAAGCATGTTTCATAACTTTAAAATGTAAGGACCTATTAATTACCATTTGTTCCTGATTTATACACTCACAAAAGTGAGAGTAAGAGTTATACTCTATGTAATTTTTGTTCTTTGTAATTTGTTTTTTTAATCTTTTTAAAACATGTATTATGGATTATGCCATTACAGTTGTTCTATTCCCCCCTTCATTCCCCTCCACCCTGCACACCCCTCCCCCACCATTCCCCCCTTTGGTTTATGACCACTTGTCTCAAGTTCTTTAGATTCTGTATTTCCCATGCTATTCTTGCTTTTCTCCTGTTTTCTACCCACCGTCTATGCTACTTATTCTCTGTACCTTCTCCCCACTTCTCTTCCTCCCACTCCCCAGCTATGGTCCCAAGCCAGCCTGCAGCTCCCTTACCTGGGTGGCAGACAATCAGAACACAAACCAGGTTGGGCTGGCCATAGCTGCAGTGGCCAGTGTAGTCACAGAGTCAAGTGTGCCATGGAGGCAGGTGGCCATGCAGTCTTGTTACCTCAGTAAGTGGTTTCATTTTTGCACAAGGACTATGCACCTGCCCATTCCAGGTCTATCACAGTGTCATGGAAAGGAGATGGGAAGCCAGCAGGTACAGTGGGAGTAGCCTTGGAGGCCCACCAGGTGTTACAGGGACAGGACAGTGACTTCAGCTGCCTGTCAAGGACAAGAGATGCAGAACCCAGCAGATGTCGGGCGACATTCACTCCTTGGAGCCTCCACCTCAAAACAAGGATGGAGGCTGCCAGCCCCTGGAAGGTGGGAGAGAGGGGTGTGTAAACACCCAGCTCCCTGCACAAGGTGGTCTTTGACAATGTGAACTATGCAAGCAAGGCTGAAACAAAAGGGCCTGTTTATGACTTAGCTTTGAGAGCCACACGCCATTTTCACAACATAGATCAGCTCGGTTGTGTGAAGGAGGAACTGTACAAGGACAGAGGTGACGGCATGTGCATTTGGGGGACACCTTGAAGGCTGGCAGCTACACTAGGAATGTGGTTTGCTGCTGAAAGGGAGGGAGAGGGAACAGACCTGTCTATTCAATATCTTGAATCGCTAAGCCTTCTTGGAGAGCTCCAGGGTCTGTCCTCGTGCTGGTCGTGGTGACCATCACCTGCCAGTGTGCGGGTTCCCCTTCCCACTGTATTTCAGTGCCAGCCACACTGCCAGCCAGCACTACACCAGGACCCTGTCCCTCTCCCATGGCCCGTGCTGAAAGCCACAGAATGTCGAGGTTCTGGTGTTCTCTCTGGGCTGTGGTGGTGGGGGAAGAAACAGGGAAGGGAAACAAAACACAAGACACACATGTTCCTTTAAAAACATAAAAAACAAAATAGTGGATATTTATTATTGCAACCCACGTAGTTTATGTAGACACTCTTCACAAGCCTGGCACTGGGAGGACACAAAGGTCACTGTTCCAAGTCATGGGGGTGGGTGTACCTCTTTGGTGAACCCACCCCAGCAGGAACAGGGTGGGTCGTGCTTAGGTCTCCCTCATGCCGGAGAGGTTATGATGAGGTCCTGATTGTTGACCATCTCTCTGTATTGAACTCAGCTCTGGTTCTAAGTGTGGCCTCTGGGAGCTGCTACCACCCTTGCTTATGCAGATGTAGATGTTTATCTTGTTCTCACCCTGAGTCTCGCTGGACTCCCACCCATTGGGTCCATGGAAATTTTGTGCTCTTGGGCCACTGTGGACATTACCTGGGAATGGGTGGCCAGGAATGACCAATATTGTGCATGTCCATTATATCATCGGACTTCACAAACAAAAGTTTAAAGATACAATAAGTAATAATTTTGAGATGGTGTCAGTGATGTATGAAGCCCTATGGGGCCCAGGTACAAGGAGAGTGCATTATAGTAGCTGCTGCCTCGTGGGCTTCATGAATGCCACATGCAGATTGGGTGCCCATCACAGGAGAAACTCAGTTCTTCTTGCCAATGCAGTCAAGAATTACAGATCAGCAAGTGTATTAGCATGCAAGCAGGGTTTATTAGTGACACATTCTCATGGAAGAGGACAGGTCTTGCTGAGGTGGGGGTGAAAGGCAAGAGCTTGGGTGGCAAGAGCACCAGGCCCTTTGTCCTGAGGAGTTATATAGTTGGTGGGTGAAAGTAGTGCCAGCTTCCAAGGGGACGGACTACCCAAATGTAGTTATGTGTGTGGGTCGTTAGCTGAATCCTTATCTCAATTCAGACCCCACTTGGACATCTTGTAAAATAGATACATAACAGGAGAGTTAAAGTAGAGGTAGTTACCCAACGTTACCTATGGGCTTTCTGTAAGCACTAGGGGCCCTCTCATAAAACAGATTGTGGCCAGAGGCAATTAGCCAAATTTGTTTTATGGGTCCTTCTTTACCTTGAGTGCTGTGGACTCCCTCCCATCCTCTAGGGCTTAAAATGAATAGTTTCAAAGCCTTTCTCTGCCACATACTGGAAATGATACCTAGAATTTCAACACGTTGTTGGACCATCTGGCGATAGACTTGGACCAGGCTCAGGACTCCTGAGTTAGTGGGTGACACATGTCTTCCTCGTCCTCCCTGCCTTGGCTTCCCATCTATCCCACCTAACACACCAGTTGGGGCAGATGCTGTATCCAGCCTGTGTCAGTTCTCAGCAAGGGGTAGCCAAGGGTCTTGTTTCACAGGTCACTCTCAGTACCACCTGCCTGTGCTAAGGAGGCTCTGAAGGTGCACAGGGTCAGTGGGAAGGGGGTTACCGGGAGGGAAGTACATCCCCCACCTCAGGCCTCTTTCTCAGGGCAGCTGGGTCTATGTGGGGAAAGCAGTGGGGTCTGTTCATATTCTGAATTTGGCTACAGACCCCTACCCTGTCCTTATCATCCTTTGTCCAGCACTAAAGACCTGGAAGACATGGGCACTGAAGGCTGTTCAGCAGGACTTGTGATCTCAGTGACCTTCTTGCCAGATTCTGTCTGAGCTGACTCAACTTTGAATGTCAAACCAAAAGGCTGGAGTTCCCATTTCCATTGCACAGTCTAGGAAGCAGGCAAAGAGAAGTTGAGAATCTTGCTTTAGGTCACAAAGCTGGAGAAGACAGAGCTGAGACTCAAACCCACTGTCAACTGGTGTGGAATCTGTGCGCTGTGCACCAGGAAATGCTGACCCTGAAAAGGCAGCAAGGAGTGAGGAAGAACAGGTGCCCAGATTCAGCCAGGCTCACGTCCATGCACAAGCATCCATCTCTCCCTGCCATTTACCTCTGAGGCTCCAGAGGTTGTAGGAAACCAGAGGAGCCAAGAGAAGGCAAGGGAGGAGAAGTACGGAGCTGATTAGGAGAAAAGGCCCTTTCCAGGAGTCTGGGGAATTACCTTCCTGGGTGAGTCTGTCTCAAATCCCTCTCTTTTGGGAGTAACGAAAGTAGACTGATTCCACATTTACACATTTGTAGGAGTTGAATTTCTGTGGCTGAGAGTATGAGTTCTTTGTGGCTCTTTAGGAATCCTCTGCTTTCACTGATGGGGAAAATGAGAGATGTGTATGGAGACAAAACGTTTTAGAATAGGTCAAGAAACCATGAACGAGTTTGGTGCTGACATCCCCATATCACTATGGAACTGTTTGTCCATTTCATCTCTTGTAATGAAACTGGAAGGTTTGTTTAACCAGTTACTTCTCTACTAATTACAATTTTGGGGAGAATAAGGGGCTGTGAACTTCCTATGGCTACTGATATGTGACTTAATGCTAATGACTCACTCACTCCACCTGCAAACATGGGGCTTCTCCCCTGAGTGTCTCCTCTGGTGTCTGATGAGATGTGACTGCTGTGTAAAGCCTCGCCCGCACTCCCTGCAAACATAGGGCTTCTCCCCAGAGTGTGTCCTCTGGTGTCTGATGAGATTTGTCTTGCATGTAAAGCCTCGCCCGCACTCCCTGCAAACATAGGGCTTCTCCCCAGAGTGTGTCCTCTGGTGTCTGATGAGAACTGACTTCTGTGTAAAGCCTCGCCCACACTCCCTGCAAACATAGGGCTTCTCCCCAGAGTGTCTCCTCTGGTGTGTGATGAGAGTTGTCTTGTGCGTAAAGCCTCTCCCACACTCCCTGCAAACATAGGGCTTCTCCCCAGAGTGTGTCCTCTGGTGTGTGATGAGAGTTGTCTTGTGTGTAAAGCCTCTCCCACACTCCCTGCAAACATAGGGCTTCTCCCCAGAGTGTGTCCTCTGGTGTCTGATGAGATGTGACTTGCATGTAAAGCCTCGCCCGCACTCCCTGCAAACATAGGGCTTCTCCCCAGAGTGTGTCCTCTGGTGTCTGATGAGATCTGACTTGCATGTAAAGCCTCGCCCGCACTCCCTGCAAACATAGGGCTTCTCCCCAGAGTGTGTCCTCTGGTGTGTGATGAGATTTGTCTTGTGCGTAAAGCCTCTCCCACACTCCCTGCAAACATAGGGCTTCTCCCCAGAGTGTGTCCTCTGGTGTCTGATGACATCTGACTTGCATGCAAAGCCTCGCCTGCACTCCCTGCAAACATAGGGCTTCTCCCCAGAGTGTGTCCTCTGGTGTGTGATGAGAACTGACTTCTGTGTAAAGCCTCGCCCACATTCCCTGCAAACATAGGGCTTCTCTCCAGAGTGTGTACTCTGGTGTCTTATGAGAATTGACTTCCGTGTAAAGCCTTGCTCACAGTTCCTGCAAACATAGGGCTTCTCGCCAGAGTGTATCACCTGATGTGTGATGAGATGTGATCCATCATTAAAGCCTTGCCAACACCCTCCATGCTGGATTGTGACAATTTTTGACATTCCTACTTCCACAAAGAACTTGCCTGTGTCCTCTGGATTCTCTTTCTGGCCACTCCGGGGCTCTTGTTCCATCATTCTCTCGTGCTCACTAGAGCTCATTTGTTCTTTGGAAGGTTGGAAAAAGGGTTTTGAGATTCCCCTCTGATTGATCCTTTTAAGCAAAGGTTTGGACCTTTCTTTGACCTCTTGTCCTTCAGCTTTATCATTCCAGCTGTGTGTACTAGTATGTTGCTGCTGCTGATTCTGATCCTCTGGATAGGGTTGCTCTGCTTGGAGGTGATTTCTTGCCGATGTTCCCTGGAGAATCTCAGAGGGATGATTGAGTTTCATGTGTTGTCTGAGAAATTCCTGAGTGGAGAAGGCCAGAGAACAGGAGGGACATGGGTGCACCTCTGGCTTTGGTTCTGCTGAAAGAGAAAGGTTTGGTCAGGGCAGGTGCTGACGACAATGCCTGGACTGTATGATTAGTCTCCTGGTAAGACCTGCCCCGTGAGTCCTTCTTACTGTGGTGACAACACAACCTGTGTCTCTCAGTGTCCACTCGCCGTCTATTCTTTTTATTTTTATGCAGTGCATCTTCCTCAGAAATCCAGAAAGCCCACATCAAGGGTCTTTTCTAATATTGCCCAGACTAGGGACTTTTGGAGCATGAGAGGCCATTTCACTCCCTGTGTGGATGGAACTGCAGTGACCTTTCTCAGGTACAGGTATCTTCTAAGTCACGTTACAGAGGAAAACCACAGGCTCCAACTAGGAATCGCTTCTCTTGGTTTTCCAAAATAGTAAAATAAAATGTCCTTCCTCAAGCCTCACACCAGATATTTATGCTTCATCTTATTCAGTGTTACACTAGTTCAAATACACTATGAGGACCTGTTTCAAAATATTTCAAGCACATTTTTTACACGCCTGACTCCTGTTTCTCTCTGGCCAATCCACCACGCTCTCTCACTTGGAGATGAAGTAAGCTGAGGGGTTCCCCACTGGTTTATTTTCTAAAAATTAACAAAATATAATCAGACTAGAGAACACACCACTCTATAGCTGACAACTGCACACTTTCATTCAGGAAAGTCCCCAGTGTCTCAACTCAGGTCATCGGCACTGCATCTCTGGGCTGCTAAGTATCTGCCTGATCTGTTTTTACCTTCTGTGCCAGGACAAGACCTTGAGTGACCCTTGGCCAGTTCAGTGCCCCATCTCTTTTCTTCCCTGGACTAGCTGCTCCCTCTGCCTGGGATCCTCTTTCCGCAGGTATTTTTGTAAATGCTGTCTCCTGAGAGAGCCCTTCCAGGACTACCTGCTACACACCTCCCCTCACACTGATCCGCAGGCACTTGTACTGGATTAGTTTTCTCCAAAGCACTAACCGGTGTGTGGTGTTATGCACACACAAGCACGTGCCTGGGTTTCTCTCCTTCACCCATCAGCTCCTCAAGAGCAGTGATTCTGTCCTCATGTTAACTGTATTTCCAAGTCCCAGGACACCATGCACCACAGAGTAGGATCTCTCATGATAATTCACTGAAATGATGAATGAATGCGCCCTGCCTGATTGGTGTGGCCTGGTGGGTTGGGTGTTGTGTGAAAACTGAAAGGTTACAAGTTCGATCCAGTCTTAGGGCACATGCAGGGTTGGGGGCCAGTTGGGGGTGTGCCATAGACAACTGGTTAATGTTTCTCTTACATATTGATTTTTCCTTCTCTCTCCTTTCCACTCTGTAAAAATAAATAAAATCTTGTTTTAAAAGACTTGATTTATGTATTTATTTATTTATTTATTTTTCAGAAAAGGGGGAAGGGAGGGAGGGAGGGAGAAACATCAATGTGTGGTTGCCTCTCACATGCCCCGTACTGGGGACCTGGCCCAAAACCCAGCCATGTGCCCTGACTGGGAATTGAACTGGTGACCCTTTGGTTCACAGGCCGGTGCGCCATCCACTGAGCCACACCAGTCAGGACAAAATCTTTAAAAAATAATGAATGCCTACAGACAAAAATGTTTTATTTAGAAGTATTGAGGAAAACTCAGAAGAAACAGCTATAAAAGTATCAGAAAAACTACCTTGGTGAGAGAGCTGGTTAGTGCTTGAAAATTTTTGTTTTGCCTCCCAGTCTTTCAGCACTGTATGCAGTTGTGTATTTTGTTCATGAACTTTTAAAAAAATAAAAAGATAAAAATTTTGCCTAAGAGTCAAAGGCATGTGAATGTATTGTGAATTTCTGAAGCATGTGATCTGAAACTTTACTGACTTTAGAGTGGATTTTACTCCACTTAAGAGTTGGGTCATGAATATTTCTATGGAGAATTCTCTCTTTTCTTTCTGTTTTGAAGAACAGCGGTGCCCACCTCTCTCAGCCACGAACTCTCTCTTCCACTTGCTGCCCCACTTGCTGCCCAGCTCCTGGCCATACTCATCCCCGCACCAGACCAGCAGCTCACGGCCCGGCCTGACAACCCGGCAGGTTCGGTAGAAAATCTGCCTGTGGTACTGAAAGGCCACCAGGTTCTGTTCTTCATGATCCCGGGCACAGTTCACATACCTGGGATTGAGGCACATAAGGGAAAAGAAAACCATGGTGATGAGTTCCCACTACCTGTTACATCCATGTCCAGCTCCTCACTGACTCTGAAGGCCCTCAGGCTCTGGTGTTGCCCAATGCCCTTAATGCTCTCAGGGAACCCTCTGTTCAGTGTCTGAGTGTCTGTCAGCATGTCATGTGAATTCCCACCTCCAAGTCCTGCTTGCAGTGTTCATCCTGCCTATTACTATTTTCTAAAACCCAGTTCTAGACTTAACTTCCACTCTGACTGGCCATAATGTCCAGTGATCTCTGGCTTCTCCAAACTCTAAATCAAGTTGTCTCATGCCACAGAACCTGGCTCTGCTTCTAAATTAACTCACTAATTATCCAGTACTCAGCCCACATCTGTTTTCTCCTGAGAGGCCTTTTCCAACCCCCCTACACTTTATGTAGGATACCATTCACTTGCCTGCCCAAGGTTACTATAGAAAATTGAATGTCTTTTTTCTCTTGTTAGAATAAAACAGAACAATAGTAGTTGATTCACATTCTGTTAACCCTGATTAAAAAAAAGGCCCTCGTCAGGAAAGGGGCCCATGACCATTCCTCTGCAGGCCTCAGAATCCAGTTCTAGTTTGCAGTGAGGATGGGATGGTTTGCTGCCCTCACAGGTTTAGGCCACCCTTGGTTTGTGCTATCTTGACACTGTGCACTTCTTGAAAATTATAGTTTCTAAAAGCAGCTGTTTTTATCTCTCTGTGAGAGGTCCTCCATAAGGGCATGGGTTGTGTGATCTGAAGTTATTTATTCCTTCACCATAACTAGAATATAGTAAGTGCTTAGTTAATGTTCATTTGATAAATTAAAGTGTAATCCAGTGTCCCTAACCTCTTCAAGGTCCTTTCCAGTGCCCAAATTGTGTCTAGCAGAGAGCTTTTTATTTTGGGAACACATGCTATACTTTTTTCCTAAAGTCCCCTGAAACAAAAGAACACTGTATAGAAAAAAAGGGGGGAAAAAGGATCAAGGGAGACCACTGAGGGAGGCATGATGAGAGGGACAGATATATGGGCTTGTAGGGGATGAGAGTCCCCTCTGGTACCCAGAGACCTGTTGACCTCACCTCATCCAGTTGGCCCAGACCCTGTCCTTTCCATCCACATACTCATAGCAGTTTCTCCCTTTGGCGATCTGTGTTTCAGAAAAGAAGGTAAAGACCTTTTATGTATTTCATGGGGAGGTTACAGTCAGAATTATTTTACTCCACAGTCATCAAAGCTCTTTCCACCTGTATGGGGATTCAACTGCCAGCTGTGACCACATGATATTTTTCTTACTCATCACCTACACAGCTGAGTCTACCTATCCAATCACAGCAGGAGCCCCACAAGGGAGGAGCCACTCTTTTGTGTCTCCACCACTTTGCTCCCACTTACCTTCTGATCCTTCAACAGGAGCTCTGTGTCCATGTAAAGTCCAGTCAGTACACAGAGCTGACCACACTGTCCCCTCCATGTCTAGCACATAAGAGGAGAGGTCCCCCCAAGCCTCAGAAGGAATGTGGGAAGCCAGAGGACAGTGGAAGAGGTAAATAGTTCTCACCAGCCAGGAGTTTTTGCTCTTGGCTACCTCTTCACCTTCTGTGATGTGTCCTGCATAAGTGCCAAAGTGCAGACCCACTGGCAAATCAGCTGCCTCATTCCACACTCCAAGCCCAGCCTCAGGGAAGCCCGATGGCCCAATTCTCAACCCAGCGGGCCGGGTGAGGGCTGAGCGGTGGGGATGCCCCTCGTCCACTGCACTGTCCTTTACAAATGCAGGGGGTCCATGTACTGCACAGCTGTCGATGAAGAAGTTCTGACACTTCTCACAATCTGGAGGTGAGAGCAACAGGGGTTAGGGAAGGTGTAGCGCATGTTCCTGGACACACAGAGCTTCAGGGGGAGTGTGGCACTGACATCACTAAGACTCAGTCCTGTGCTCCAGGTCATTAAGGAAGGGAATGATTTGGGGACCAAAGGACTAGATGAAATTATTGTATCATAATATATTTCTGAGTGAGGGTCACTTACAAAGGTAGTCATCATCCTGGGGCTCGGTGACCTCTTGGTACACACAGTCCTTTCTTTCTTGTAGGTTGTACATCTTCACATCCATTTCCTTTCTCTTGAGTTCTAAGGTGGAAAAGGCCAGGTGAGCAAGGTGGTGTGGTGTGGATTGTTAGTTCCCATTTTATCATATAACACACAATCTCCTCTCATCAAATGACCACCTGTCCTTTTGCACACTCTGGTATTTTACTGTTAACTATTGGTTCAGAAGAGGAAGACTCCACACTAACTACAGAGGACTGATTCAATTTCAGTTTCTAGATTTTTCCTAGTACCAGGTTTAATTTGCCAACCTTTAATCATTCATAAAATATTTATGGAGTGCACATTGTGTTAGGCACTGAGTAAAGGCCTGGGCACACAACACCAATAAAGTGTGGTTGCTATTATTACACATGGATTTATTGGACAAGTTGCATGTGTCAACTGTTTTAAATTTAATTTAATGTTTTCCTACAATATATGAGTGATGTTTCCTTATCTTCACTTTACACATTAGCCTGCAGGAGCTCAGAGAATTTATAGGATTTGCCCAAAGGTCCAGTGGTAACTTCAGTCTCAGCTTCGCCTACCTTAAATCCAGGCCCATCCATAGTCCACCCCACATGCCTAGGTCATACTTATCAGCCCTTCTGTAGGACTTAGAGGAACTTAAGTTTCCAAATTATTTTTTCTTACCTGATTTTCGTCTAGTGTGCTTTCCAAAGGCACATGCTTCTGCAGGAGGGGACATTGGTTTCTGGGCCTCCTCTGAGTCACTTGCAGTCATCAAATTTGCTGTTCCTGACAATTCCTTCAAACTATATTCATTGCTTAATGGTGTCTTGGATGCTGCCTTCAATATAAGAGTCACATATTAAAAGATAACGTATATTTAATTTTTTAAGGCTTATGGTACATTTTACATGCATGTCCGTAATACTTCAACCCTTGGAAATACCTAGGGAGTATGAATATTAGAGGGGATAGGGCCAATGTGGGTAATGAATCCAAGATTAGAACTCATGCCTTATGGCTCTTTTCTTTCAAATGTCTGTATAGTATTGAGAGTGAAGGATATTCGGAAGAGAGTAAGGAAATACTTGGCAGAAACATATCTAGGCAATAAATAAAATGGTGATAAAATTTGCAATACCTTAGAAAGAATATTTGTATTTAGATTAGCTGGTTCCCACCGATTCTGTTTGAATAAGGCTGTATCATTAGCTAGTTGTCTTTAGTTTCATGACCTCTGACATAATAATTTTCAATGTTACAGTGAATGTACAACTAAATAATGCTCACCAAAGTGTTCTGTTGTGTAATACAGTATGGATGTGAGATTACAGTCCTGTTATCAATTTACCCCTCAGCTCTCTCCATATTCCACAGCTCACAGAAATTGCCTTCAGCGTTCATTGATTATCTTCTAATTTAATTTATAATTGTGAAATCATTCAGTAAACATTTAGGGGCCCTCAGGGGCCCTGACCTCGGCCTGTGACCTCTGAGAAGTCTCAGGTATGGACCTGAGCTGTCAAAGAGCTCACTACTTGGAGGGAGGCAGGTTGAACAAATGATTTTAAATAGGATGAGAGCAGCCTCACTGGAACTCAGAGAAAGAAGCTGCCACTTCACTCTATAAGAAAAGGCATTTGAAGTCAGTTCCAGATGGATAAGTTTCTATAGAAGAGTGTGTAACCTATATGAAGTCCTGAGTCATTTTATTATTTGTTGTTTCTCAATCATCAAACCTGAAGCTCCTCAGGGGCGGGAGATGCTTTTTTTTTATTAGAGTGGGAGGCTGTGATCCTGGACACTACACTCCTCTTCATCTGGGGCCACCCCCTGGACAAACTGCCTACACATCATATACTTTCCTTAGTCAGAGGGTCTTAGTGCATCTCTCACTTCAGCATAGCAGACAACTTTGCTTGAAACCGTCAGTCAGATGAATGATGTAATGACATATGGATAAAACAATGTAAACTTTAGGAAACTATGAAAGTTTATTTTTTTATTTTTATTTTTATTATTTTTTTATATTTTTTAAATATTTTATTTATTTATTTTTAGAGAGAGGGGATGGGAAGAAGAAAGAGTGGGAGGCGTGTGTCTGCCTCTCTCCTCTGGGGACCCCTGCACTGATGTGCCCTACTGGGAATTGCCGGCGAACCTTGCCAGGATGATCCTGAGCTAGCCAGGGCAATTTTTTTAATTTTTAAAAAAAGATTTTGCTTATTTTCTTGAGAGAGAGGAAGGGAAGGAGAGAGAGAAACATTGATCAGTAGCCTTTCACACACACCCAAACCAGGAAACTGGCACACAACCCAGGCATGTGCCCTGACCAAGAATCAAACCGGTGATCTTCCGCTTTGCAGGATGACACCCAACCGGTCACGGTGGCCAGGGCAAAACTGTGAAAGTTTTAGTAAGTTGGTAAGTGTTTTAGAGAAGCAACTATGAATCAGATTGCACTACCACTGATACTGTGATCTTAGACATATAGTCAAACATTTCTATCTCTCTGAAAGATCACTTGCCTCATTGTAAATGGTGACAGTTACAGTACGTACCTCATCGGGGTGTTGTAATGTTTGAGTGAGTTTATTCACATAGAATTCTTAGTCTGAAACATTGTGAGAATGAAACAAATGGTAGTTACTGTTGTTGCTGTAGTTGTTAACTATTAAGATGATGATGAGCCCTGGCTGGTGTTTCTCACTGGATTGGGTACTGGCCTGCAGACTGAAAGGTCACCAGTTCCATTCCCAGTCAGGGCACACACCTGGGTTGCAATTCAGGTTCCCTACTTGGGGGTGGATGAGTGGCAACCCAGACAGGTGTGTTTTGCACATGCTCCTCTCCTCATTTTCTCCCTCCTTTCCCCTCTCTCTAAAACATCAATAAATAAAATCTTTTTAAAAAGATGGTGATGTCAGACAATGTGTTGAAGAGACCAGGAAAGGAAGGCCGCAGTTCCTAGGATACTTTCAGCATTTTCCTGCTCTTACCTGCATTTCTACCCATGGGGCAAATTTTCTTGTCAACAGGATTTGGGACATACTCACCTTCTGGTGTTTACTCTGTTCCCTTCTGAAGGCCACCCAAGAAGGTTTCACTGAAAGATGATGAGAAATCAGTGTTTTCGCTGGTAAATGTTTCCAAAATATGGAGATTCTTATTAGGGACACAGAATTCTGAATGAGTAGTCCAAGAACAAACCCAGGATGACTGAAGAATGTTTTCTGAGGTTTCATTAAGGCCTAGGCTTCTATTGGGGCCATTCACTCATTTCATTAGAATGATAAAAAAATAGACAAAGTGTTATCTATGCTTCACCCTATGTTCATAAAGCATCTATTATCATTTACTAAAAGATACACTGGCCTCTCCTGACAAAAATGTAAGAAAATGTAACTGCACAGAAACTCCAAGTCTTCAACATAACCCTTTCTCCAGCCCATTTTCTTTATTCAAACTGGCCTTGACCAGCTAAGGGCACCAGGACCACCTCGCCTCCTTTCTCTGGTATCCTCCCCCCTCTGCACATACTGGCCATCCACACCCTTTTTTAATCTCTAGACTCTAGTCAGCATCCACAATCTGATGACCACAGAAACAGAATTCCAGTCAAGTCGAAGATCACATCTTGACTTTACCTGTGTTTCAGTCCCAGACCCATGAAAGTGGACTGACCCCACCGAACACTCATGATACGGGACAGAAGGGCACCATGGCCGACATCAGAAAATGATACAGTGATCAACCACTTCCGACCTTGGCCCTCCCCCCAGCTCCCACCATCACCATGTTAATACTGTTCTCCTCGGTTTCCATGCAGGCTATTGGGCAGCCAGGTGTAGGGACACTCCTCACCGGCCAGACCTGCCTCCCTCTCTTTCGATGACAACTCTTCTGAATTAGTTATTTCTTATTCACTTGTATATTCCTATACATTTACTGGTTATTAATGTGTCTATAAATATATATGATTATGTTGCACACTTGAAAGTTCACAGGAATAGCCCCTCACTGTACCACACACTGTTCTGCATCCTGCGTGTTCACTGAACAAGCAAACCCTTTCCCCTGGTTAACTCCTGAGATGCAGCCTGACCTAAACCAGGTCCGTGCCAGGAGGGTAGCTCTGGCTCCTCCTGCCCCTCACCTTGCCGCCTTGGAGCCCATTCTTCATCAGAGTCCTCAGGGTCCTCCTCCTGGAGCTCAGTGGCCTGCCCGCAGTGACACATAAAAGCTGGTCGCGGGGCCCTGAGACCTGGAAAGAGACAAAACTTTTGTCCTGAAAGCAAAGAGCCTGGAGGAGGAACAAGCTCCAGGAAGCCCGTGTGACTGGCTCGGCTGGGATGGGAGAGTGAAACGAGTTGCTGTGAGCGCTGCACCAGCAGCGCGAGCCCTGCTGTGATGCTGTGACTGAAGGAGCAAATTCCCCCTGGTCGATGTCCACGCAGGAGGAAGGCGGGGGGCTGCAGGCGGATGGAGCCGCCTGAGTCGGAGCCAAGCCGGCGGGTTCCTCGCGCCCAGCGCCTGCGCACTCAGCTACCTGGGCTGGGGAGCACGTGCGAGTCCCTCCTCACGTTCCGGTACGGGCCTTTGTCCCGGTCTCCCGGTCGCAGTGACCCACTCCCCTCTGGAGAAGTAGAGGGAAGCGTCTTCCGAAGCTTCTTCCGCCTGGAGAGCAGAGTGGAAACGCAAGTATCTCGGTGATGCTGGAAGGGTCTCCCTGGTCCCTGTGCCGCAGGCAACGCGGAGCCCGTAGTCTCTTCCCCGGTCTCCCGCAGGCTCTCCACCCGGGCCGGGTCCCGCGGGCTCTGTTCGCACCCTGTTCCCCCACTTCCCTGCCCCGCGGAGTCCCGTCTCTCCCACCAGCGCTGCGTCCGCCATGCTTCTCCCTCAGGGCTGTGCTGAGGGCCCCCGTCGGGGTTCAGGGCATCCCAGCCCCGAGTCCGAGGAGCCTGTGGAAGGAGGAGACGCTGAGAGGACCGAACATCTGTCTCCTGGTTGGCGGGGCGCCCGGAGGGGGACGCGGGAGGAGGGGCTGGACGGGCCGGGGCGTCTTCCGGGCTGAGGCTGGGGGAGGGTCAGACCCTGCGGCTGAGGAGATTTGGGGCCTCCCGTGGAGGGGCTTCCGGTTCCCACCACTGAGTAGCAGAGTCGGTTTCCAGGACGACGGCATTCGGAGTTTCTGAGTTTGGGGAGATTCGGTCTTTCCGGGTGAGCTGCAGGTTGGGTGCCCCGAGCTGAGGGGAGCTGGGGTTTTCAAGGTGTTTGGGGGTCTAAGCGTTGGAGGTCTTCTGAGTTAGCGCACGTGGCCCCCTCAGGATGAGGACACCTACGGTCTCTTAGGCTGGACTTTGAAGGTCTCGGGCTAAGGGCGCCACGTGGCAGGGCTCCCCGCTTACCCGTCAGTCTCCCGCGGCCCCTGCCGAGCCGCCCACCTCTGCCGGGCTCTTCTCTGAGCTCCGGGGCTTCCCGCCCGAGGGGGTGTGGGCCCAGTACTGAGTAAGCCACCTGGGAACAATCCGCCAATCAGTGCTGTGATCCCGTGGCCCTGCTCACCAATGGGCGGTCAGAAGAACCTCAAAGGGCGGGGACTGGCACAGCTCCCGGGGTTCCCGGACTGGCCAGTTGAAAATCCGCCCCGCCCCTCGGGGGGTTAGGCTACTCTGGGTCCCCAACCTCCCGTCACACAGCCCGCAGCTTGTAAAGTGTTTACTTGGCATTTACATGGGCCGGTGAGGGACCTGACCCGCAGGAGCTGGGAGCTCGGAGCCCAGGCCTGTGTCTAGGGTGAACGTGGCCCTCCTGCCGCATGACAAAGTGTCTTTGTTCCATCAGACCGTGGTCACGATCCGCAACATTCGTCTAGGCCCGTGCTTGCCCTCCCTTGTCAAACCGACATTTGCAAGATGTGCAGAACCAGTGAGTACATGGTCAAGACTGCATTTGGTGGAAACAGGTCAGTAAATTCTGACCACGCTATTCACAGACACAAAATAAGGTCTCAAAGATTTAAACGCAACAAATGACAGAATAAGTACACTGGAAAACACACTTGGAGAATTTCAAGTCTCAAAAGAAGTCGCGTTGTATGAGTAATATGTATGTTTAAGTAACTCTGTTGCAAAAATATTTTAGAAATAGGAAGACGAGATAAAACCAAACAAAACTAAATAAATTTTGAAATAGTGTGAAAAACCAACAAGTATTTTGCATAAAAATAACGTATCAAGTTTAAGGACGGGGTCCACAGAGCAGAGTCAGTGTCGATGCTACTGGCTTTCATGGGATAAAGAGGGAAGAGTGTTTCTGGTCCATACCTAGTTTTGAGCACGTAAATATAACTTCATTTCCATGGATGGAACTGCGCCAACTAACTGTAATTATTATTGTGAAACTGCATAAAGGGAAACCTCACTAAAGAGGAGTTGGGGGTCAGTGGGGTTGCTCCACATAGCACCACCCAGGGTCAATTACAGGAAAAATTGTCTCAGGCCCCAACATGAATATGTACTGTGTGCTTCCAGGAGAAACTGACTCCCCAGCAACTCTGCCAGATAGAAGCCATCGTCACCCTGAACTGGATTTTCTCCGCTGCACTTTCTTTTCAAATGACCCCTCCCAACTCCCTCCTTTCTCCCTATGAAAATAACGTTCATCTCCTTTACTGATAATCCTTATTGCCAATCTTGCCTATCATTATTGATAGTAATCATCTTTTGCTAAAGCTTGCTTGTCCTAAATTGCAATTTTTGTTACTATTTCTGAATAAATCCCTTTTCTTCTGGTAAAATAACTGCCTGCTATATTTTTAAGGTGAACATAATTTGGTGGCTCTTATTGGGATCCAGAGGACTGCTGAGATCTCTGAGGCTGATGAGCAAGCAGGTGCAGTGTTCTTGCTCTGAAAGACTTGGGGAAAGGTCTTTTGGTGCAGACTCTCCAGATCATTTCGAGAATAGCTATTCAGAAATAATATCCTCATACCCTCTGACCCAGATATTCCACTTTTCAAAGTTTTTTTTCCAGTAGCCCTGGCCTGGTAGTTCAGTTGGTTAGAGTGTCCTGCCTATATGCCAAGGTGGTCAGTTCATTCTCCAGTCAGGGCACATACAAGAAGCAATCAATGGATGAATGCATAAGTGGAACAACACTTTCTCTCTCTCTCTTTCAAATTAATAAATGAAAAATTTTAAAAAGCATAAAAATCCCCCTAGTTATGCTTCCCTGTGTATGAAATGAAATATGATTAAAATATTGTATCCAACACTTATATAATAACATAATTTTAATGTTTTCAGTAGAAGAGAATTTGTTAAAGTATGGTTTAATCACACTGAAATATTATAGAATGTTGAAAATGGGTGAGGATACACGGTATTTCATTAAAGAAATATTCCATTGTAAGGTGGTTCTAATGGAATATAACAGAGAATGGTTTCTAAGCAATGTTGTCATGTGAGAAAAGTGACCTGCAAAACAAATTGTGTTTAAAAAAAAACCCAGGCAGAAAACATGTGCTGAAAGGAGACACAGGGACTAGTAGTATCCACAGGGATCAGGGTCTGGGCAATGTGCAGGGGAAAACTTGCTTTTCCTTCATGTCATTTGGAACTGTTGTGTCATTTCTTTTCTCTTTTACTTAAATTAACCTCATCTGTTATGCATATTTTTGTAGATAAAAGAATGAATAAGATCAGTAGTTGGTTATATATGTATGCATTTAAAAATGACTCAACAAAAATGCTGCACATCTTCATTAGATCTAGTGCCCGGTGCTGCCTTCTTTATCTGAATAGCACCTTAACCACCCAGAGTGTCCATTTGCACCCAAAAGTCTATTCCAGCAGGAACATTTCCACAGTGCAAAATATACTGTCACACAGTTACTGTTTGTTTCGGAGATACAAATCATTTATTATGAAAAATCAATTTTGTATTTAAGTACTGGATCCAAAGTCATTTACAGAAACGCAATTAAGAATATTACAAACCCTGACTAGTGTGGTTCAGCTTCGGTGTCTGGCATCTGGCAACTATGGTTAATTGTCCAGCTTCCACTCTGGAGTCTGCTGTAGAGTCTTGGTTATGAATCTGGGTCCTGTCTCTGAGGTCTGTGGCCTTGGTTTGAATCTATTTGGCTATGGGTCTCAGATCTGGGGTCTCTTTGGGTGTGGCTTTGGGGTCTCTGGGTTTGTGTGTGGGGTCCCTGTACATGTCTATAAATTTATAGTCGTTGGCTCCAAGTC